CACTTGAGCCACAGCGCCACTTCCGGCTTTTTTCTTTTTTCTTATGTGGTGCTGAGGAATTGAACCCAGAGCCTCAGGCATGCAAGGCAAGCGCTGTACCACTGAGCCACCTTCCCAGCCCGGGATCGCTGTTTTGAGTCTTTACTCCCATTTCCTGCGTGGGCAGTAGGAAGGAAGTGTCTCTCCCTTTCCCATTTCTTTCTACTTTATCCTGTTGTAATGTACTAAAATAAATTAAAAAAACAATTAATTTGTTATTATATAGGTGATGTACAGAAGGTGTTACTGTTTCAGAAGTCAGGTAATGAGTACATTTCTTTCTTTTTTTTTTTTTGTCAGTTGTGCAGCTTGAACTCAGAACCTGGGCATTTTTGGTCAAGGCTAGCACTCTACCCTTTGAGCCACAGTCTACTTCTAGTTTTTGAGTAGTTAATTAGAGATAAGGGTCTAATGGGGAGTTTTCTGCCTGAGCTGTCTTTGAACTGTGATCCTCATATCTCAGCCTCCTGAGTAGCTAGGATTATAGGCGTAAGCCACTGGTGCCTGGTGCCCTTAGTTTTAAATGGTAGCAAGTACAATTCACTGTGGGGCAATCAGAAAATAGCTGCAGGTGAAACATGCATACAAGCACCAACATCAATTCTAGTAGCAATTTACAGTCTTACAATTTGATGCTAACCTCTTCCTTTCAGGAGACTTGTGACAGCCAGAGGCAGAGCAGAACAAACAGATGTAGGCAGAGCTCATCCCAGCTGTCCAGGGAGGCCTGATTCACAGATGCCTGCGGTATCACTCATGAATGTTAAGTGTTCTAATCTATGGCAGTGTGTTCTAACTTGCAGAGTTGTTTTAGACAATGTAATCTAGCAGTTCTCATTTTATTTGGCCAGTCCTAGGGCTTGAACTCAGGGCCTGGGCCATGTCTCTGAGCTTCATTTATTCAAGGCTAGCACTCTACCTTTTGAGCCAAGGTGCCACTTCTGGCCTTTTCTGTGTATGTGGTGCTGAGGAATGGAACCCAGGGCTTCATGCCTGCAAGGCAAGCACTCTACCATTAGGCCATGTTCCCAGCCCCATGCAGTTCTCAAGTTTTTAAACCTTTCCTAAACAAAGAGTTTCATGGTGAAGGTGGAGACAGGTGGAAGAGACTGTATCCAGACAGAACTGCCTCCTCCCACTGGCTTCTTCCCCTCCCCAGTGCTGGTGCTGGCAACCTCTCCATTTCACTGGACATGTTAGGAAGCTAAGGACAAGCCAGACAAGTTCCAGAGTTAGCAAGTAGCACAGACAGGTCTAGAATTCAACCTCAGAATCTCAGAAAAAGGCAAGGAAGGAGACTCTGTCTCGACTAGTCTCACAGGTTGAGGGTGCCGGACTGCCCGGAGAGGGTGCTTTACAGGCGTTTCTGACTCTTCTGGGCCACCAGACGCAGTTTCTCTTACCTCCCATCCTTCCATCTCCAGTCCTTTCTTTCCATATATATCATAGATGGCTCTGGTTTGGGGGTCACTAAGCACTGCAAGTAGAAGGTCAGACATGGTTACAAGGTGCACAAGTCACCTTTCAGTCCTTTCACAAGTCATGAGGTAGGTCTCCCTGTCCAACCACCATCTTCCTAGAGATCCTCTCCATCTTCCCCATACCTTTCCTCCTAATTACTTTCCTGATACAACCTAGGACATTTCCCCTGATTTTCCTGTAGGTACAAGGTGTGCCACATGGGAGGCTGCATTGAAGGTGGCTGCTTGTAAAACAGCATATAAAGTACACTGGATTGTTAGAGATGATTCCTGTCTCCAATCAAGACTTGATTATTATTTTTTCAGGAGCAGGATAGAACTGTATGGCATGTTTTGGTACACCCTTCGTTCTTTCTTTTTCCTTCTCCCCTTCCCCCTCCCCCTCTCCCTCTTCTCCTTCTTCTTCTCCTCTCTTCCTCTTCTTCTTCTTGTTTTGGTCATGGGGCTTGAACTCTGGGCCTAGGCATTGTCTCTCAGCTCTTCAGCTCAAGGTGAGTACTCTACCACTTGAGCCACAGTGCCACTTCTGTTTTTCTGGTGATTAACTGGAGATAAGAGTGTCACAGACTTCCTGCCCAGTCTGGCTTTGAACCACGATTCTCAGATCTCAGCCTCCCGAGTAGCTAGGATCACAGGCATGAGCCACTGGCCCATCTTTATTTCTAAAGCTTTTTCTTGATTTTCTTTTTGCTTTTCCCATGTCATAAGTTTAGTTATCTTTATTTTTAATATTTTTGTTGGTCATGTGGCTTGAACTCTGGGCCTGAGAGCTGTCCTTCAGCTCTTCAGCTCAAGGCTAGCGCTCTACCACTTGAGCCACAGCGCCACTTCTGGCTTTTCTTCTTTTTGCTTATGTGGTGCTGAGGAATCGAACCCAGGGCCTCATACATGCAAGGCAAGCGCTTTACCAGTGAGCCACCTTCCCAGCCCCCACATCCACGTTTCTTAAGCAGATGGTGTCTCACTCTGTCGAAAGGCACAGCAAACCCAAAGTTGAGGTTATCACCACTAGTAACTGCCAGTTAGCTGCTTTCCACAGGAAATGGCCAATCTTCCAGGGCCTACTGATGGTGGCTCCCATGGGTCATGGAGGTTGTGACCCACCCCCAGATGCTGGGTTCCATCTGCGCTTCTGGGGCAGCTCTGAGCAAGGGCAGACATGGAAGGTGGAAGAACTGGGTACACTAACAACATCAACCTTCTTTTCTCATGACCATGCTGGCCCATCAGCTGAAGTACACCAGGAGCAGATTCAAGGCTGCCCACGTGGAACTTGAATACCAGCAAAGTCAACAGTTGCTATATCCTTCCCCTACTCTGCCAAGTTCTGTTCAGGATCTTTGCATCTAATCTCCTGAGAGTTCGCATATATTTTTAGGCCTAATTAGAAAAACAATGTAAATGAGTCTATCTATATTCAAGTATAATGAGGAAGAAAGAAATGCTGACTGCTGGAAAACAGGGACCCAGACGTTTTGAGCTCGTCTCTTGGATTTAGTGGGAGATGTTTATTCACTGTTCATTTCTATCTTCCTTTAGGTCAATGTGAGGCCAGGTCTGCCACTGTGCTTTCACCAACACCGGCAGGTAACTTGTTAACTCGTCCCAAACCTCCAAAACAATATGAGCAAACTATATGGATAATTCAGACAAGAGCATACAACAAAAGAACAGGCTTTGGCCAACTACCACATAAATGGTCAGAAGTATCTGTTCATTAAAATCTAATTTGTTGGGGAAACTCTAAGGTAACATACACCATATGCTATGTGTCTATACTCAGAAGTCAATTATTTTGTGAAAAAAACATATTATCTAATTCCAAGGAGCAGGTCACCAAAGCCCCTTCTGGAATAATTTATCTTACTTGATTTTCTTTCTCTTTCTTTCTTTCTACCATTTTAAGTATTTAAAGTGCAATTCAATTGCATTAAGCACCATCCTCGCTGCTGTGGGGCCATTCAGTCTATTTTCAGAACTTTCTATTACCTCACAGAGAAGCATTAAACCCATTAGTGACTTGAATATTTCATTTATGAATGTGTCACAAATCTTTCTGTTATACATAGCTACAGGTGTAGAGGTCTGAATGACTTGGATCTATTTCTTTTCATCTTTCTTAACATCATTTGCTTTCTTGTTGAAACCGTTCTTTCTCTGAATGCTACTGAACCAATAAAATTGCTTTCAGATGAAAGAGTGCCCTTGTAGTTTCTTATAAAAATGAGAACAAAGAGAGCTTCCTGCAACACTCGGCCTCCCCGCCACGCATTCCCTTTGGAAGGCACTGGTAAACGATTCAGAACCGAATGCTCCCCTGCAATTCAGACCTGGCTCCATTACTTCACCTGGACTTTCATTTTCTACTTACTGGACACATATTGATTTCTAAAGCAGAATACTACTCTTTCAAAGGGCCCCGTCAGTAAAAAGTACTAACCTAACCACCTCTTTTATACACCTCTAAGGACTCTCTTTCGCTACCCTCCACAAATCAAGTCTCTAAGAAATCGAACATCTGCTTGGAGGGTGTTTCTTGGAACCAAGCCCCCACTGACCTTCATAAGCCTGGTGGACAAGGTTAAATAGTCGTTCTGCTTGTGATTTGAGATCTGGGTCTCGGTGCTTGTCTGGGTGGTAAAGCATACACAGCCTCCGGTAGGCAGCTTTGAGCTCTTCAGAAGAGGCCTAAATAAAGAAAAATTCAGTTAAAGAACAATCAATGGCACTTAAACATTACCATGATCAGAATCAGCCTTGAAATGGGAACCTGTCAGCCACATCCCAACATGTTTGGTCTCTCCATACAGGACACAAAGAAGTTATGCTTTATTACCCCAATACGCCTTTTTTCCACAGTTAAGAAAGTAATCAATATGTACTACTCTGATAGTGACTACTTGGCTCGGGAAGGCTACGATCACATGGAATGAGGCCTTCTGTCTGTGCCGGCTCCATGCTCTGAGCTGCAACTACAATGCCTTGAACACATGCTCACTCCTTAACTCAGGATGTTTCTGGGAGGTCCTGCTGGAGAATATGTTCAGAAAGAATACAGTTGCGTGTCACTGCACAGAAACAACATTCATTTAATAAGGTATTTGTTGTTAACTTTTTTTGTCGGTCATGGGACTTGAACTCAGGGCCCAGACACTGTGCCTGAGCTTCTTTTTGCTCAAAGCTAGCACTCTACCACTTGAGCCACAGTGCCACTTCCGGCTTTTTTTGTGTATGTGGTACTGAGGAACGGAACCAGGGCTTCATGCATGCTAGGCAAGCACTCTACCACTCGCTGTTAATTAAAAAAAAAAAAAAAGACAAATGAAACTAAAACCAACACCACCACTGAGTCAGCCTCTAATCCTAAAAGTAGGGGAAATGCTTTACAAATCTTCAATGACCAGCAAGTCAGTGAAGCCCCTTCCCAGGCAGGCCACTCCTCGCTGTCCTGGGAGGCATCCAGGACACCGGGTTGCGTGCAGAGCATGGTCTATTTTCAGAACTTTCTATTATCCCACAGAAAAGCATTGAACCCATTAGTGACTCGAATATTTCATATATGAACATGTCACAAATCTTCCTGTTATATACATAGCTACAGGTGTAGCGGTCTGAATGACGCATGTGCTGGGCTCTCGTGCTAGGGCATGAGGACCGCCTCCCTCCTGGGCCTTGGAGTGCTAGCCAGCCTAGGCGGCTGGGCCGTGGGTTTTCTATGGGAAGTTAGCGTTGGCTCCAAAACCACCACCTACAGGAGGTCACGTTAGGGGACAACGCTACTCAGATGTCTGAAGAAACATTTTATTTTGGGGAGCACGTCAAGCATTCTTGAGAGTCACTAGCTGACCACATGGCAGAGGGGCCCGCACTGCCTCGGTTACCAGGGAGTCCACAAAGCAGAGGGTACTCTGCTTGGAATGGTAAGTGTCCGAAGTCGCAGACACAATGAGTTCAGAGCCCAAGGTTACAAAGGCAAACATTACAGTGCATTGCTGTATAATTCCCACATTCACTTTTTTACCCACAAAAATAAATCTCTACTGTGCTTTGGCAATATTTTTTGGCATGATGTTTGCATATTTTCTACAGAACTATATTATTCACTACAGATGTTAAAACCCTGGCAACCTGTGCAGGTTGAGTAGAGGTTCTAAAAGAATTCTGGAGCACTCCAAAGAGGCAGACCATAAATGCTACTGTGGACACAGGGCAGCCTCTTCTCCAGGCATCGAAAGCGTGGGGGAGAGAGGTGGCCGAGAGTCTAACTAGAGTGTGTGATTCACAGAAGCAGCAGCCAGACCCAAGCCAGACAGCTTGTCCTTCAGGTCAGGCCTCAGAGAGCTTGGCTTGCCCACTGCACAGACATGCATTTCCAGCACTGCTGCTTTAAATCAGGAGCTCTGAGGTTTCCATGAACTGCTCCATGGAATGGGGTCAAGGATCTGGGGACTGAACATCCTTTGCCAGGATTAGGTGACCTGTGGCCCCGCCCCCTAACTTTTGCATGTTCTTTGGGAAGGGCACCGTGAAGCAGTTGTGCGCTGACAGCCGCTCCTGTCTCCTGTGTGATATACTCTGGGCTCCAGCACACCTGCCATTTCAGTGGTTGAGGAAGCAGGCTCTGGAGTCGAAGGGCCCGTGTACAGACATCAGGCCTGTCACTTCCAGCTCTGTGAAGCATTCTGGCCTTAACTTCCTCCTCTAAAAGGCGGAATGCACCTCTGAGAGAGGGGCAGTGAGGAACGAAAGGAGACGGACTGTAAACCGCGTCATAGCCCAGTGCCCACCATGCAGTAAGAACCGCAAGCCGTGAGGCACACGCCAGCTGGTTCCCGGGCGAGAGGTTGGCAGTAGGAAAGCAACCACTGACTTCTCACTGCCATTTCAACTCAAGTTCAACACCCCTTTGGCAGCAAGTACTGAACCTGGGAGGATTGGGAGTGCAGAGAGCAGGTGCACCCCTTTATGAAGTCCTGTTGGTGAACACTCAAGCTCTGGAGATGATCCCGTCCTCCCCCACCCCCCTTGCTCCCCGGCCTTTGTGCCAGTACTAGGGCTTGAATTCAGGGACTAGGCCATGTCCCTGAGATTTCTGCTCAAGGCTGCACTCTACCATATGAACTATACCTTCTTTGCTGATCGATTTGTTGAGGTTAAGAGTCTCAAGAACTTTTCTGTCCATGCTGGCTTTGAACAGTAATCCTCAGATCTCAGCCTCCCGAATAGCTAGTATTGCAGGCATGAGCCACCAGTGCCTGGCAATGGGCACTTTTTTCTATGTTCTTTCTACTTGACTAGATGCACAAAGCTCCTGGAAGAGACAGGTCTCACTATTCCAGCTCTGCATTTTCTCCTTCCTAATTACCATTCATTACACAATGCATTTCTTGCCTCTCTTACCAACATGGCATCTGCACTAAACCCTGGGGTTTTATTTTTTTTGTGCTGGTCCTGGGGCTTGAACTCAGGGCTTAGGTACTGTCCATGAGCTTCTTTTGCTCAAGGCTAGTGATCTACCACTTGAGCAACACTTTTGAATCCCAGGGTTTCTTTCCCCTCCAATCGTGGGCTTGAACCCAAGACCTGAGCACTGTCCCACCTCTTCATGCTCAATGCTAGTGCTCTACCATTTGAGCCACAGTGACACTTGGATATTTTTGAGTAGTTTATTGGAGATAAGTCTCTCACAGGGGGCTGGGTATGTGGCTTAGTGGTAGAGTGCTTGCCTAACATGCATGAAGTTTAGGATTCAATTGTTCAGTACTATACACACAGAAAAAGCCAAAAGTGGTGCTGTGGCTCAAGTGGTAGAGTGCTAGCCTTGAGCAAAAAGCAACTCAGGGGCAGTGCCCAGGCCCTGAGTTCAAGCCCAAGGATTGACCAAAAAAGTGTCTCACGGGGAATTTGCTGCCCAGGCTGGCTTCAAACCACAATCCTCAGATCTCAGCCTCCTGAATAGCTAGGATTACAGGTGTGAACCACTGGTACTTGGCTCCCCAGGGTTTTCAAATACAAAGACAATAGAATACATCTTCTGTAGGTTCACTTACGTGATGATGCAAAGGGGCTTATTTTTTCCTCAGCAGGAGTAACACAATTTCTCCCTGCAACTTCCAATTGTTATCATTATTTTTGCCAGTCTTGGGGCTTAAACTCAGGGCCTGGGCGTTGCCCCTGAACTTCTTTTGCTCAAGGCTAGCACTCTACCACTTGAGCCACAGTGCCACTTCTGGCTTCTTCTGTTTATGTGGTATTAAGGAATCGAACCCAGGGCTTCATGCATGCTAGGCAAGCACTCTACCAGTAAGCCATATTCCCAGCCCCCCAATTGTTATTTCTATATCTTGCAAAAGTTACATGTGGATTTGACTGACTCTAGGTTACAGTGCTATTTCCTAGTTTTAAAATTAAACTAGCTGACTGGGGAGCAGAATGTTTAGTCTGCAAGACCTCCTTCCATCCTATGAATAAATGGCTTAATGTGTTATTGATTAAGGAATGGGAATGAGAAGTTTCATTTTTAATAAATATCACATTCAATAAAAGGTTAGATTAAGGCCCTCCATCACAAATGAACAGCTAAGGTCACTGGTTCGATATTTCATACATGATAATCTCTTTTACTATCATAAAAATACTGGTAGCATTTCAAGGTGTAATAAGATACCATTAAGAATGATACCTAAAGTTATGTACTTATTTCTAAATTTCTGTAATAAAATTAAGAGCTGTAATCTGAAAAGCTTTATCATCTTAATCATCTGGCTATATTTTCATGGGACAGTCCATACATATGTTAGGACACAAATTAATTCTCAGTAGATTTTAAAAGATTCATACCACACAAAACATTACAGGAGACTGGAAAACCCACAAATTTGAGCAAGTTAAAAAAACAATACCTTAGAAATAGAGACAAATGAAAACAAAAACACGACGCATCCAAACATGTTGGACAAATCAGAGGCATTATTAAGGGTATAGCTACAGATACCCGTAGGATCACAGGAGGCTAGGGGCTTATGGCACAGCAGGAATGGCACACACCAGGCCTTGGTGGTTTTTTTTTTTTTGGTCGAGGGGCCTGAACTCTGAGCCTGGGGGCTGTCCCTCAGCTCTTCAGCTCAAGGCTTGCGCTCTACCACTTGAGCCACAGTGCCACTTCCAGCTTTTCTGCTTATGTGGTGCTAAGAAATCGAACCATGGCTTCATGCATGCAAGGCAAGCACTCTACCACTGAGCCACCTTCCCAGCCCCAGGCCTTGTTTCTGTCTCATTGCTACAAAACAGAAGCAGCAACTGGAAAGTGTCAAGTCAACCAAGTTACATTTAAAAAATGCTCCAGCGGGTGCCGGTGGCTCATGCCTATAATCCTAGCTACTCAGGAGGCTGAGATCTGAGGATCACAGTTCAAAGCCAGCTCAGGCAGGAAAGTCCGTGAGACTCTTTTTTGCCGGTTGTGGGGCCTGAACTCTGGGCCTGGGCGCTGTCCCTCAGCTCTTCAGCTCAAGGCTAGCGCTCTACCACTTGAGCTACAGCGTCACTTCTGGCTTTTTCTGCTTATGTGGTGTTGAGGAATCGAACCCAGAGCCTCATGCATGCAAGGCAAGCACTCTACCACAGAGAGAGAGAGAGAGAGAGAGAGAGAGGGAGAGGTGAGAGGGGAGAAAGGAGAGAGGAGGGAGA